TGGGCACTTTGGATTGTAATGGTTATAGTTACAAATCTATAAGTGGAGTAATGAAAGTGAGTAAAGGCATGCTGACAGTGATGAAGGGACAGAAAGTAGTAGGAAACATTTACAGACTGCTGGGTACTACAATTGTAGGTGGAGTTGCTGCTGTAGAGTCTGAATCAGATAATACAGTCTTGTGGCATATGCGGCTGGGTCATATGAGTGAGCGTGGGATGATAGAGCTTCATAAGAAAAATCTATTGAAGGGTGTCAAGACATGCAAACTCAATTTTTGCAAATATTGTGTTCTTGAAAACAGAATAGGGTGCAGTTCAAGACAGCCACATACAAGACAGAGGGGGTTCTCGTCTATGTCCATACAGATGTTTGGGGACCAGTTAGCGTAGTATCACGGGGAGGATACATGTATTTCGTGAGTTTCATTGATGATTACTCACGAAAGGTCTGGGTGTACTTCATGCGGCACAAGTCAGAAGCGTTTGCCAAGTTCAAGCTGTGGAAAGCTGAAGTAGAGAACCAGACAGGGAGGAAGATTAAATGCCTCAGGTCAGATAATGGTACTAAGTACACAGATTCAAAGTTCCAGGAGTTGTGTGAGCAGCATGGGATCAAGAGACACTTCACAGTCCGCAAGACACCACAACAAAATGGTGTAGTGGAAAGGATGAACAGAACGATAGCCGAGAAAGCTCGGTGTTTCAGGTTGAATGCAGGGCTTGCAAAGAATTTCTGGGCAGAGGCAGTGAATATGACATGTTTCTTGATTAACAGATCACCGAGGGCAGCACTAGATGAGAAAGTATCAGAGGAGGTATGGACAGGCAGTGAGGTAGACTATTCTGGTTTGAGAGTGTTTGGATGTCCAGCCTATGTACATGTTTCTAGTGAGGAGAGGTCGAAGCTTGATGCGAAGTCTAGACAGTGTATCTTTCTGGGATATCAGAAAGGAGTGAAAGGCTTCAAGCTCTGGGATCCGAAGGCAAACAAGATGGTGATCAGTAGAGATGTGGTTTTTGATGAAAAAGCCATGTTGCAGCGTACTCAGGAAGAAGAGAAACAAGTACCAGAAAACTGTAGCACTAATAACCATGTGGTGCAGGTGGAGCTAGAGAATCATGGTAGAGAAGAGGATGCTCAGCATGTAGAGCGTTCTATCTCAGGTGATCAGCAGCATCATAGTATAGCCACAGACAGGCCCAAACGCAATATCAAGCCACCTACCAGGTATGGTTTTGAAGATTTGGTTTCTTATGCGCTTATTACTAGTAGCGGGGATCCTACAACTTTTCAGGAGGCAGTACAAAGCCAAGAGAAAAGTAGATGGATGGGTGCTATGGTGGAGGAGATGGAGTCTCTGCATAAGAACCAGACGTGGGAGTTGGTGGAACTTCCCGAGGGGAAGAGAGCAATAGGGTGCAAATGGGTGTATAAGAAGAAAGAAGCAGTATCAGAAAAGGAGAGAGAAAAATTCAAGGCTCGTCTAGTAGCAAAGGGTTACTCACAGAGAAAAGGGGTTGACTATGATGAGATCTTCTCCCCCGTGGTCAGACACACTTCCATCAGGACAGTGTTGGCACTAGTAGCACATTCAGATATGCAATTGGAGCAGATGGATGTAAAGACAACTTTCCTTCATGGCGACTTGGAGGAACGGATTTACATGGTACAATCAGAAGGGTTCAGTCTCCCTGGAGAGGAACATTTGGTCTGTAATTTGAAGAAATCACTTTATGGGCTGAAGTAGTCTCCGAGGCAGTGGTACAAACGATTTGACTCTTACATGATCCGAATTGGCTACAAAAGGTGTGAGTATGATTGTTGTGTCTATGTAAAAAGGCTTGATAATGATTCATTTATTTTTCTGTTACTTTATGTGGATGATATGTTGATTGCTGCCAAGAGTATGAGTGAGGTCAACAAGTTGAAGACTTTGTTGAGTAGAGAATTTAACATGAAGGATTTGGGTGCGGCCAAGAAGATTCTTGGGATGGAGATTCGCAGGGACAGAGCTTCCAGGAGATTATGGCTATCTCAGCATAGCTATGTTGAGAAGGTGTTGAACAGGTTCAGCATGAGTTATGCAAAATCAGTAAGTACATTTTTAGCGAATCATTTCAGATTGTCTACCGCTCAGTGCCCGAAGACAGATGATGAAGTTCATGACATGTCAAAGGTCCCATATGCTAGTGCAGTAGGGTGTTTGATGTATGCTATGGTTTGTACAAGATCAGATTTGGCACAAGCTATCAGCGTGGTTAGCAAGTTTCTTTCAAATCCGGGTCGACAACATTGAGATGCAGTCAAGTGGATTTTCAGATACTTGAGGGGCACTACAGACTATGTCATCATGTTTAGCAGACAACAGAGTAACCCTTCAGTTATGGGATATGTGGATGCAGACTATGCATGGGACTTGGATGACAGGAGGTCTACCACAGGTTATGTGTTTACTCTTGTGGGAGGACCTATTTGTTGGAAGTCTATGGTACAGCCTATAGTTGCACTATCTACTACTGAGTCAGGGTATATGGCAGTAGCTGAGGCTGCCAAAGAGGCTTTGTGGCTTACAGGTTTAGTCAAGGAGTTGGGTGTCTAGCAAGGTGGAGTTCAATTGCATTGTGACAGTCAGAGTGCCATTTTATTTGGCAAAGAACCAGGTGTATCATGCGAGGACCAAACATATAGATGTGAGGTTTCATAAGATCAGGGAACTGGTTTCTTCTTGTGAACTATTACTTGAGAAAGTTTACACTTCTGAGAATGCAGCAGACATGTTGACAAAGCATGTTACTATAGACAAGTTCAAGCACTGTTTGGACTTGATTAATGTCTCTAGTTGCTAGCTGAGAGATGCCTCAACTCAGCGTTCTCGGTGGAGTTCTCGAATACATGTCCTCTTTTTTCTCCTAAGGGGGTGAATATTTGTCAAGGTGGAGATTTGTTAGAGTATGTGTGACTCATATTTGCTGTGTACAATAATGACAATGAGGCAAATGTCGGAGCGGGCGGAGCCCGGGACGGCATCTGCTTTGCGGAATTTGTATAAAGGGGATGTTGATTAGTTGGGGGTGCGGGGGCAACGCCCCCACGGTACGATACAGGGGTATTTTTGTAAATACGTCCGTATTAGGGTTATATAAATACTTAAGATGTAACCCTACTTTGAATAATGAAAAAGAACGGCCGCTCGCTCTCGTGGATGTAGGCACATTGCCGAACCACGCAAATCTCTATGTGTTATTTTCTCTTACTTTCTTAATTGTTTGACGAGGCCTTTATTATACTATGAGAGAGGACCACACACATTAAGGTCACTTTTGTGTTACTGTGTATACTTGCTAGGATGCCCTACAATGTTTCATGCCCGAGATATATTGACACGTGTATCCGAGGTGAAAAAATTCTAACCGGATTAAAATAATCTTTACTTTAAAGCAGTGATTTTTAACACGTAGAATTAGGCTAGGGCAACATTTGAATCTCGAGTTTTTCTTATCCAACTCAACGCAACTACCAATTGGCAAATTCAGTTTCAATATGATTTTTAGCCTGATTTGTGTTATAACATAATCGAATTCAAGTTCAACTTGAATTCCAACTAAGATTCACTAGTTGGCTTGAGAATCAAATTAAAAATTAACTTAAATTCCGGCTCGAGCTTTTTAACTCAAAGCTAACTCGAGTTGAAAAGGGTAAACATGAATAACACCTGAAATTGGAAGAATCGAGTTGATCATTTTCAAGTTTGAGCTAACTCAAAAATCCATCGAGTATTTTTTAATTTAGATTGAACCTGAATTAACTATAATTTCAAGTTAATGCACAATGATCTCAGTTGGCTTGCAGAATTGTGGGTCATGAGGCTTTTCAACAATATTTTGGGTTATTACGCTTTTGCCTCTTCATGGCTAAGCTCAAGTCAGCTTATCGCATGGAGCCATGCATGAAAGGTTAGAGATCGTGGAGTTGTCTAACACAAAGTTCTTGGGGGAACGTCAATGATCAAGGAAGAAGGGGGGGGGGGGGTACGTGGCATTTTAAAGTTGAAGACAGCTAATGTGCATATAGAAAGCAAGGAGAGTCACCAGCCTGAAAATGATATATGTGATGTGTGATATAGAGAGACAAAACTAGGGTCTAATAGAGAGAAGTGGACTAATTAATGTTGCATTTTTCTTTTGATAATTGAGAGAGAGAGAGAGAGAGAGAGAGTATGTGTACTTTGAAAGGAAAAGCATACGATAACAGTAGTATCTTTGGCAAGGAGGAGAAGAAAAACAACACAAAAAGAAAATGTGTCAATTTTCTTATGATGATTGCATTTACCATAAAGCAGAGAGTTTTTTGAGTTTCAATTTTAGTGGATTGCCTACAATTACTTGTAACATTGAATCAATGAAAAACTACCTTTTGAAAATTCGAATTATAATCTGATTAATATGTTATAACTATTCAATAAATTAGCCAACATGAATTCGTATATAAAAATTACAAATTGGTCGTATGATGGACAACTATCTCCTGCGGTTTGGAGAGAACTCAATTTTTAGTTAGTACACCCTTAGGTAGTTTCTTTGTAAAGGAAGAGTAAAAGCCAAGTACAATTGAATGCATATCCATACCTCTTTTTTAATACATTATAATTATTAAATTGACAATTGATTTTCTTAAATGCTAAAACCTATAGGTAATCTAAATATTGATAAGAATTAAGTACTAAAATTATGTTTCAATACCATTGCTCACTGTAAGAATAATGTTATAATACACTAAGGTCCAATAATATTATTAAATCTTAAATTAAATTTTAAATTATACGGCTGTCTAAACCTGTGGTGATTGGCACTAGTCATTTCTCCAAAGCAGAGGGGACACGTCGCCCTTTGTGATAAACAGAGGCCGCACCGAATCGCTTTGACTACTCTTTTCTTCTTCTTCTTCTTATACCCTTCTTATCAACTATAAATATATGCGCAAGTACTTTACATACGGTCCTACATCTTCTGTCTTCACTTCTGTTCCACATCTCTCTCTCTCTCTGACACACACACACACACCCACCCACAAAGTTCAATCTGCACTTAGTACAGTTAACCCTAAAAGAAGGATCGTAATAGGAATAGTTGCAAGACAAGATGGTAAGAGCACCTTGTTGTGACAAAAATGGCCAGAAAAAAGGGCCCTGGACCCCAGAAGAGGATCAGAAGCTGCTTGATTACATTCAGAAAAATGGGTATGGAAATTGGAGGACACTTCCCAAGAATGCTGGTACTCTCTCTCTCTCTCCCTCCTAAACCATTTTGCTCTCTATAGTTATTTTAGCAGGTTGAGTTGCTACAGTTTTATGGGTTTGCTGTGCTGATGAGCATTTTTTTATCATAAATTAATGTATGTATAGGGCTCCAAAGGTGTGGAAAGAGTTGCCGTCTTCGTTGGACTAACTATCTCAGGCCCGACATCAAGAGAGGTAGATTTTCTTTTGAAGAGGAGGAGACAATCATTCAACTTCACAGTATAGTGGGGAACAAGTAAGCTCTTCTTTTCCTTCGAATAAACTATTTTACGACCAAGTTTCAAGTCACAAAAACAGTTTCGGTAACAAAAATAACCTATTCACATGTTGAATAAGGCGGTTTAGTGGTTTACACCCCTACACAATAGTGTCGTCCACTGGATTGTCTTTTTTTTTTTAACGTGCAATTCGAGAGAAGTTCTAAAACAACTTCTTAACCTCGGCTAAAAGGGCTTTTGTGATGTTCAAAAGTTTGATTTTGTTGTGTTCTCTTTTTGTGTGTTTTTTTGACCATAGGTGGTCTGCCATTGCTGCTCGCTTGCCGGGAAGAACCGACAATGAAATCAAGAACTATTGGAACACCCACATTAGGAAAAGGCTTCTGAGAATGGGAATTGATCCTGTGACTCACAGTCCTCGCCTTGATCTGCTTGATCTTTCCTCTATTTTAAACACATCTCTCTACAATTCATCTCAAATGAACATTTCAAGGTTGTTGGGTGTCCAATTCCAACCCCAAGTTAACCCAGAACTGCTAAGACTAGCCTCCTCTCTCTTCTCATCCGACCGTGAAAATTCAAACCTTTTTCCACAAAATGTTCAACAAAATCAGATCTGTAACCCTGATCTAGTCCAAAGCCAATTGCCACCATTAGTCCAACATGGTCATCTTCAAAACTCGGACCAAGAAATCCTACCTTGTACAGCGTCGAACACTGCTTATGTTTCATTTTCTGATGAAACGCAATTCATGCAACCCAATGTAGAGCAATTCTCTTCAAGTTTTACCAACTTTAATCCCCAAAGTTACCAACTAAATGAGTGGGAAAGCAGTGGAATTTCATCTTTTGTGACAGAAAATGAAGATTATGGAGCTGTACAACAAGACTACAGTTTCTACACTTCTGATCAATCCACTGTTGATCATCTTCCATCTGAGAACTCGACTTTTCAATCCAACAACAGCAACAATTTCAGCTTCCAATCTGTTTTGTCTACTCCTTCATCAAGTCCGGCACCATTGAATTCGAACTCGACGTGTATCAACAGTTGCAGCAATAATGAAGATGAGAGAGAAAGCTATTGCAGCAACATGATGAAGTTTGAAATTCCAAGTGTCTTTGATGTTAATGAATTCTTGTAAATTATCAAAAACCCAACTGATCGATCAGAGGTTTTTAAATTTGTTGTTTATTGTACTGTTGTTATGATTTTGTTTCCAATTCCTAAGGTTTACTACATAAGAACAAAGAACCACCCCTTTGTTATTTTCTCTTGATTAAATTTCATTCTCTAAATTAGTGAAAATGGACTAAGAAGTATTCAATTTCAGCATCGCATCATTTGAATTTTTTGTAGTCGATATAAAATTATCCATATTGGAATCATTTGACACCAAATAGATACACGAAACAATAAATTAGAATAAAATCGTGGACCTTCTTATCTATCACACAAAAGCATAAAACATATAAAAAAAATGCATGGACATTAGTCATCTACTGAGCTCATTTTGTATCATTGATCATCTATTATCAACGATTCATCAAAGTTTTAAATTTGCTATACATGTTGGTGGCAAGGTTATTACTAAATAATAATATGCCTCATGTCTAAAAAAAAAGGACACATTTTTTACTTAATTTTCTATAATGGGCAATTTTAAAAACTATTTTTAGAAATATAAAATCAAAGTAATAAAAATAAGAAGAAGAAAGAAGACCCAGTATGAGAAAGTCATCCGAAAATGTTTCATGGATCCCAACCGTCATTTTCCGGCGATGTCGCCGCCCACAGAGACCGGTGTGGGTGAGTTCGACACGTGTACCGGCCACCTGTAAGGTGACTATCTTTTTCACGTACTAATAAAGTAACATTTTTGCATGGGACAATAACATATTGAAAAAGAGAAAAAAAAAAAAAGGGTGAGAAGGGGGGCGCTTAAATGTAACGGAAGGTTTGACTATGAACGACACGTGTCGATGTGATACGGCGTTGGGGACCACTTGGGAAAAGGGCTTTTCCTCGTGGCGTGGCTCTTGTGCTATTTTTTGTCCTTTTTGTTCTTATCTGCAATTATTTCACAAGGTCAAAGCCATATATCTAATGGGTGACGTCATCATTGAGGACACGTGGACTCAATAATACACAAGTGGGTGATGAGCGGTTCTACTTAAAAAAAAAAATCGATGAGATGCACTCATGTAAAGAGTAATATGTATTTCAGTTATAATTTTTTGAATTTCGAAGAGCGCTCTTCGAAAATTTAAACATACAAATCAAATTGAAACTCTGAGACAAGCCTTTTCGTGCGCTTAATGTGCTTCAAAGAGATTTTGCTCACTAACAAACAAGTGCGAAAACTAATTTTTTTGCCCAATAGCCCAGGGTATGACTAAGTCGATGTAGCCCTCACGTATAGGGGAAAGATGTGAGTCCGTCCCTTCATTTCCACTAAAATGGAAAAGGAAAAAATTGATCACTAACTAGGAATCCTTCCGAGTGAGGGGTCCTCTCAAGCGGCAAGGCCTCTCCCTTTAAGGGGCAAGACCTCAAAGATTTGTCTTCACTCAGAATAACACTTTCCATCCGATTTCTAAAACGTGAAATACTAAAGAAACTTGAGTGAAACCATTCTACTTACTCTTTAAAAAACGGGCTGCTAGACTATGTATTAGGGGAATCACTTTTTTTTTGAAAATTTTAATATTTTTTTATTTTATATCTTTAAAAATGGACTGCGTGACACTTTTGTTAGCTCCCGTTTCTTATTCATTAAAAAACACTCTATTAACATTAATGGAATGAATAACGAAAATTAACCCTTTAATTTAGCACTGATTTTCAACATGGTAATCATGGTTCGTTCTCCTAAGTTTTGAGATTATATGCCTAGATTCTAAGCATTAGAAATTATTGCTAGGTCTATATATTAGTCAACATAGCACCATGATAAACCAAACGAATAATTGAGTGGTTCCCCACTACTAACTTAAAAATTTGAATCACATTTATCATTTATCAATGGGGTCACCTCAACAATCACGAAAGCTGCATAGTTTCCATTGACAAGAGAGAGAGAGAGAGAGAGAGAGAGAGAGTTTCTTTTCATCTCTCTCCGACGACAGACAATAGCCAAAATCGACGACGAAGAATGTGAGTCACTAGAAAGAAAGAAAGAAACATGGACATGTCTATGGTACCTTAAAAAAATCGGAATTTTATTATTATTTATAATTTTTTATGGATATTTTTTATTATTTTTTTAAGTATTTTTAACACTTTTATGATAATTATTTTTAACACTTTTGTATTACTTTTTATCGATCCTAACAGTGCAAGCACTATAAAAGTGATAAAAATAATTACCGACCACAAAGTGATAAAAACATCCACAAAAATAATAAATCATCTAAAAAAGTTGTAAATTTTTTTGTCATAAAATGATTCACAAAAGTTAAAAAAATACATAATTTAGTCAAATTTAGAGATATCGTACCAAAAAAAAATTGATATACTAATCATTATTAGACCTCATTTACTATCAAATAATATCATGTGAACCACACAAAATTTTATATAAAATATATACACCCAATAGGCACAAGTCGAAACTTAATTGATAGTAATCCAAATAATAGCTCAAGTAATAACATGAACAAATTGTAAATCCTGACGTTCTGAGTTCAAATTTTGATTGACAATTTTTAGGGTTAGGTTATGAGGAATTTATTTTTTATGAATACTCTAGTTCCGACGTGGATGACTTATTTTTAATCAACCTGGAGAGAAGATTAATCGAGATGAACGTAAGTTAACTCGAATATCTGTGACAATTAAACTAAAAAAAATAATAATAATAATAACTTGATTGACGGTAACACCCAGACTAGACGTAAGAGATTAGGAATACAAAAATTTTGGATGACATTTATTAGTGTTCAATGGAGGTAACTTCATCAGTCACGAAACCTGCACAGTTTTCCGTTGACAACTAAGAAAAACAACAAACCATTGAGAAAATCGACAACCAAGAATATTGTGGTAGAAACTTAACACAAATGATTGAGTTATATCAATTATTGCATGGTGTGGCCCCACAAAAATTTGAACTAAAGTTTAATGATAATAATCAATAAATTATATATATACATATATATATATATATATTTATTTATTTATTTAAAAAAAAAAAGAAACATATAAACTTTACTTGACAAACATGAATACATGATCTAGAACTACTAGAATTTTCACATTTCAGTGACGCAAAAATAGAAAAAAGGGAAAAAAAGCTAATATATTCAAAATATCTGGATCCATCATTGCAACTCGTAATCATTTGATCATTGATGAAAAAATTCTCTTGATGTCATCATGAAATAAATTTTGCTATCCGAACATTTTCCTTCTCCTTCTCCTTCCCTGTCAAAGGTGAAAAAGAAAAAAAGAAAAATAACAACCATTCAAACTCAGTCTGGAGTGAGAGAAATTCGTAAGTCAAATTCAAATTAAACTCAATCACTTGACAGGGAATTAACATGTATTTCGTAACGCATATTTATCATATCGATAAAGTGGGTTTGGTCTTCTTTTCAAAAAAGTGTACTGATTTTTTTAGATGACTCATCAGAACCATCCAAATGAATGAATGGAGACCCTACAAGGCTACAAATGCTGAAATTAATGAAAGTGCGACCTCACAAATTATGCACATTACAAATGAAGTCAATTCCACCCAGAAAAAAAAAACAAATCAGAGATCAACCACATGCATCTTTTACGTCAACTAATTGCCAACTTGAAGCTTGTTTTAGTTGTACGATTAGACTATAAAACCCGAATCCACGGAAAAAGAAAAACTCTTTAAAATACTATTGATGGAATAGATGAAATAAAATTAATCGTATATATGGGTAATTTATAGTAATACTTAAAACCATAAACGTTTCTAAAACGAAACAAAATCTCTTATTATACAAAAGTTGCTAAAAAAATAGAAACACGCATCATTTGACAGTTTAAAATAATTGACATGATATAGACAATTATAACTCTAAAATATTATTAATTAAATACTAACTATAACAAAAGAATATAATGAGAATATACATACATAGAAAAAGTTAATTTCATCGCGCGACAAGATCCAACAATATTCAAAATTTTCAAATAAGTTAGGTGATAAATTTTATTTGTGTAAAATGTGTTTGAATTTATGTCAAGAGTAACGAAATAGTAATAGATTAGGAATAACTCGTGCTTGAAGTTATAGTGTAATGTGAATGATTTTAAAAAAGATGTTGGTGATCGTTGGATGATTTTATGTGAGATCGTCCAATAAACTTAATAAAACTTACCCTATTTTAAATATAAACACAATGTGAGGAACTGGGTGTATGCTTTATATTTTGTTTACTTCTCTTTCTAGGTTTGAAATTTTATTACCTACTACAAGTATTAAAATTACTCTAAGTAAAATAAATTTAATAATTTAAAGTCAAACCCTGCCTCCATTTTAATCCCATATATGTAAGCAGTCCGTCACCCATACGTCAAATGAATACTTACAATCTCTCTCTCTCTCTCTCATTCATGTTTTCAATGGAAAAAGCTCAAAGGTCAAACAAAAGAGATGAAGTGTCAAAAGATTCATGCAATGTCGAAGTAAAAGGGGTACGGCCGCATTGTTTCATTATCAGCCGACCATCGCGAAACAGACACACTCTCTCTCTCTCTCTCTCTCTCTCTCTCTCTCGCGTCTCTTCGACCGCCCAAAGAAAAAGGGTTTGAATTAGTAGAGTCCGAAAGTGGGTCTCTGTCTTTTGCCTCTGCATCCACTAGTGGTGTATCATCTTTTATTTATTTCTATATTTTACTTTTTGGCTTTGGAAGTCATTACCCCATCTAAAGAAAATGTGATCCCGACTTTTACGGGTGGTTCAGTGTTTAAGCTTGTATTTTGATAATTCAAAGATTCAAATTCAATTATTTTTTATATTTTTTAAGGGTTAATCATCATTATTATTTTAAGAAACATGTCTTAATTCGGTTCAAGCCATAGTTGTCAACCGTTAAACTCAAAAAAATAATTGATACAAAATTAGACACAGAAAAAAAAAGAAGAAGAAAATATGCTCACGAAAAAGAAATTGAGTACAAAAGAAACTCCAAGCTGCCAATTTTGTATTGTTTTGTTTGTGTGGTGATATTTTTTCAATACACTTTTCCTCCTCTTTTTCC